CTGGCTCGTGTGGATTATTAAATGTCTCAAGTCTCCCATCTTCTCTTTCAAGTGGAAAAGTATTGAAGAGAGTAACTTTCTAAGAATAGGAAGCGGCTTGCCTCTAACTAGCCAAGATGCTCCCTTAGACTGGCTTAGGGCTTAACCATACCTAAGGTCATGGTGATATGACTTATTCTCATCTCCATAGGCTGGCAGCATTTACATGTTGTTGGCAAAGCACCTCATGTCTATAGAATCTCAACTTTAATCAGTATCACCACTGCTGGCTCAATAGAGGCCACCTGCCACTCCAAGTAACTGACAGGTGCAGCTTAGGGTTCTCTGTCAGTCGGTCGCCCCCACAAATCCCCTCCACTGTACCTGGACATCTGCCTCTCTGGATAAATAACCTTTTGGATCAGCTATAAGAGCAACAAAGCCCCAGGAGCTTACTCTCGGGAAGTATACACAGACTGACCTAGGTGTAAAGAGATGTTATGCCTGCAACTTACTCTCATGTGGTCTAGGAAAACAAGAATATTGTGTGTGTGCCTCTGTATGCAGGCATCGGCAGAGAAAGCAGAAAGAGAAAGAAACAAACATAGTCAAGTGGTGACATTCAGGGAAGATGCTCAAGGCAAGGCAGGGACTCCTGCTGCTGCTTTGCCAACTCTTCTGCAAGTCTGAGATTACAAATCATTTCAGACTACAATGAAAAACCTGTATCACTATGCCATGTTTGACAGTTAAGTCGGATAGAATGCTCTAGGCAAGCGAATGGCATGGACATAAAGGATTTTGTGGTGACTTCAGCGAGGAGCCTCGCAGCACCAACTCATGGAACAGAACTCCACAGCTGTCCTCATGGTGCTCTGTGGCAAGGGTGACAACATCCTGATGAGAGTTATTCTGGTTTTTTTTCCATCCCATCTCTTTCTGACAAAATAACTACAGCAATTTCTCCCAGAAAGGCCCATTTTCCAAGTGCTGCCTACCTTTCAGCTCAGGAATAGGTTTCTTGGTGTTAATGACAACAATTCATTTCTGTCTCTCTAATAACCATTTCCATGCAGTGCATGGTTCCTGCTTGCCTGCACCCCAGCTGTTCTGCTCTTGGGCACCGGTGATGGAATTCACAAAGGAACAATCAATTAGCTTTGCACTTTCAGTATCTGTGGCAATGGTGTCTCGTGGCAGTTAGGGTGAGCAGAGAGTTGAAGGCTGGTCTTGGTCATTTCATTCACTCGAGTTAACAAATCAATGGAGAAGCTGACAAAATTCAAAGCAACACTGCATCAGGGTCTTGGAGCTTCTCTTTTCCAAGCAGAGCGGAGTGGATGCACAGTCCAGCCCTTGGTGAGTTTCTAGCTTGCTGGACATGGCAGGTTGGCAGCCCCAAACTTCCCCTGTCATCCCCTTGCTTGCTTGCTGTGCACATGACGCCTTTCCTGCGGTGAAACCTTTCCCCCCAAACTTGCAAGGAACAAACCTGTATCTTCTTACTCTGCACACTGACAGGCCTTCTCAGTGCTTTGGGTTGGCTGCTGAGAACACCAGGTGACTAGGAGTTGGCCATCCTCAAGCCTGGGAAGGGAGTGGGGGCAGGGAAGAAGGGGAATGGAGGACCCTCTCCATCTACCGGCTTTCTGGAAGGGGTCATGAGACCAGGCTGCTGTGTGCTTTCCTGGCAGGTAGGAAGCACAGACACATAGCTGCCTGGTTAACCCCAGCTGCCTCTGCTTCTGCGTTGCAAAATAAAGCAGCACATGAAAAGCTGGGTGCTGCTATGCCATTGTTTCCTGTTCTAGAGAATCACCTGGTGCATGGTGGCCCACTGGGGACAAGAATGGCTCCATCTAGGGCTGGAATCTCCCACAACTGACTGCTCCGGGACAGGTCTAACCTTACGGCCATCAGAAAAGATGGCCACAGGGGTCCCACAGAAAGGTTTTACATAGAATCTGCAGCTACACTGATGTGGCTGCCAGCTGGGAAGTACCATGCATATCCTCCTGATGGAGCATGGTGTCTGTCCTTTGGCCAAAAGGTCAACCTCATGGAATCCATCGATGTGAACCTGATCTATTCCAGCAGGTTCTGTGACTTTGAGGCTGTGGAATGCCTCGACCCTTCTGGGGGTAGCTGATTTTGGGATAATTTTTTTATCTCAACACTGAAACAACCAAACATAAAGGGTGCAGATTCCAGCCGCACAGCCTTGGTCTCTGGAAGCAGAGGCTTATTCTGGGCAAGAGCTTTTACACTCCATGGGGGACAAGAGTGGTGCTGAGTGTGGGAGTAGCTTCTGCTTCTCAGGCAGTGGCACCTCTGGCAAACTAGATCACAGGCACAGTGCCAGGCAAACTGCACCAAGAAGACAGGGCCTGTCGGGCAGCCAGGGCTGGAACTATGTTCCTGGGGTGCAGTCTGTGGGGAGGCAGTAGCCTTTCCCAACCTCCTGCCCCATGGCACCTGCTCCGTAGTAATAAAGCATGTGGCTCCGGTCTTTGTCTGTGGACCTTTGTGCCTTTATGAGTTGGCTCTGTGGATGGAACCAGGTCGCTGGAGAATGTTGATTCTTCATTGGCTCCCCATGACCCCGACTTTGTTCGCGATTGTGCCATGGAACATTCTCCTGGGCCATATGGCTATGTTTGGCATGGAATCTCCGCTTCAGTTTGGGATGGGCAAATAGACTGACATTTTGGGTGCCCTTTGGGGAGAGGCCCCAGTTGGGTAAGGGTAAGAGCTCAGCTGCCATGCATGTGGCTGGGCCCAGACACCTGGGGAAGGCGAGCTCCCAAATGGCTGCCTGCTACCCTCTCAGAGACCATGACTCGCCTCACTCATCAGATGTCTGTTCCTGTCCTCTGTTTTGTGTTTCCCTGCTTTCTGTCCCCTGTCCATCTGCATCCCTGTTAGCACGCCTTCTCTGAAGCAGGATGTGGACTTGGTGCCATGAGCAGACACAGCCTCTGCCTTGAGCAGACACAGCTCTCCTGGGCCAGGTCTTCCAAGGGACCCTTCCATTTTAGGGCCCTGGATTCAGCTCTCAGCTCCGGCAGTAAGTTCAGGAGCTGGTCTGTCACAGCAAGATGCAAAGCCTGCCTTCTTCTTTGTCATCCAGCACTCAGGGAAACCCCACAGACAGACAGCCACACTCCGGGACTAGAAGAATAAACGCACAGCATCCATAGCCCAGCATCCCCCCATAGACAGATCTCATTTTTGCTGCCACAGCCTCAGCACCTTCTTATCAGAACCTGCTTAGGGTCCAGGACCCATAGAGTGGGAGATAACACCAACAAACAACTTCTTCTAAAACAAGGTGAAAATTAGCAAAGGGGTATAAAAGGATGTGTTTTATGGTTGACTTTGCCACAATGCATCCCTTTCTGCAAAGTAAGCAGAAAGTAGTTGCTTGTGGCTTGATCCTTAAAGCAAGGCGAGCACATGTGTGGAGACTGAACTGTGTTGTAAGCACTCAGGGACACTTGTTCTGTCTTGGGTGGATAAACAAATACGAAAGGCAAAAGGGGAAAAAGAAGACTTGGAGCACACCATATTCTTCCAAGGCCCATGTCTGCCATTGTTTGCCACTCTGGCCTTCACCTAAGGGGTGCCCCCAGGAATCAGTGCCCAGGATCCAGCTCAGGAGAAGGTGGAGGTGGCAGGTGCAGAAGGATCCTGTTGGAAATGATGACTCCCAAGCAAGTCAACTGACAGACCCCATGTGTTTCAGTTTTTCTTCAGTTTGAGTTAAAAATATCTACAAGAAACAAAGTGGGGCAGGCTCACCCATCATGGCTCTGACCTGGGCAAAGAGGACTGGCAGGCTGGCACCCTGGACGCTGCTGCTGCTGCTCCCGGAATAGAACTGTGCCAGCTGCCCAGTTGGATGCTGTCACCTACACCCCCTTTGCCTGCTCATGGGCACCCATTATGTGGGACAGATTTGGGACAGACCAACATGGTTGATGGTCCTGAAAGTGACAGTGGGACAAAGCCGCTGCCTGTGCAGGCACTGTGGACGAGGCACTGTGGTCAGCTGCCTGGTGTTGACCACAGTGAGGGCAGATCTGGAGTCTGCCTGGCCCCGAGCTGGGGAAGTGGGGAAAAGCAGGTGCCCTCAGCGACACTGCACATGGCAGGGGGTGTGAGTGAGGAAGCTGGCATCCTTGAGGCACTCAGTTAGTTCTGATACATGTGAGGTGGCTTCCGTAGGCTCATGGGGGAAAAACAGGATACAAAGATGCTTTAATTTCAGTGCAGGAAATTTTGCCATCCAGGCATGTGATTTCATAATGTGAATGTCCATGAATTGTTTGCAATAATTTTGTAGAAACAACTGGAAAGGCACGGGCTTGCTGCCACCAGTAACAAGATGGAACACTAAACAGGGGTGGGAACCAAGACTCTATTCTGGCTCCCCTCCCCTCAATCCATCAGCTGCATGTCCTTTAGCAAGTCACGCTGCCTCTTCATGCTGTGCTTTTTCTCAACTGTAACCTGGGGACAACAGTACCAAGTGCTGACGGGGTGTTGGGAGGTGTCACTTACTGAATGGTTATCAAACCCGGGGAACAGTGTTTGCTAAATTAGTGAAGCCCACAGAAATCACACCGGAGGCAGTGGGGAGTGTGGGAGCCGCAACCCGGCCCTGCCCATGTGCTGGCCACGGCTGCCCCCGACAGTCCAGGCGGATCAAGACCTGAGTGCCCAGGATAATCAGGGCAGTGAGCACAGCACTGCTGGATGTGCAACTCCAGGAAGCCTTCCTGCCCTCCCCCCCCCCCACTTCCCCACCTTCCCTGCTCCCCTGCTCCATTGTTGGAGGGCCCAGGGAGCCTCTCGAATTTGTGCTCTTCTTAGGTGGCAGGGTTCCCTGCCTGGCTGTCCTCCTACTCCTGCCGAGGCCAGGGTCATGACCACCCTCCCTTTGAGACTTAGGTGGCCGGAATACCCCCAGAACACGGGGAGGGCGGTGGCTCAGAGCAGAGGCCGCTGGCTGCACTCACCACTTTGGGCTTGAACGGTGGTTGGATCTCCCTGTTCTCCAGTTTCTCCCAGTCGATCCTCCGGAAGAAGGCATGCTCCCTCACGTCCCGCTCGCCCTCGGGCCCGCAGCCCAGCCGCTTGGCTGGGTGTTTGGTCATCAGCTAAGACAGCAGGGAGGAAAGGAGAGCATTGGGTGGCTGCGGTACTCCCAGAAGACTGCAGCTTCCCTCTGAGCATGGCTCTGCCTGCAGCCCCAACCACAGGGATGCCAGGATCATGGCTCAGGGCACTACCCCAGGAACTCAGGGGATTGCATGGAGGGACCTTGACCCATGGGGGGATGCTGATGGGAACAGGCCTTTGCACCACTGGGAGAAGGGCAGCAGTGTGGATGTACAGAGTGTTTACAGGCAGCTTTGCATTCTGTGTGTCAGCAGCACCCATTGACCTGTAGACAGTTAACCACTGTGTATTATAAGAGGAACTTGGGGGCTGCCACCAGCTTTCCACCCCTACTTCCTGCTGGGGCTGCGGTAGTGTTGGTCAAAGACTCATGGGTTAGGGTAAGAGAAGCTGCACCAAGGAAAGATACTGGTCCACTGACTGTGCCTCCTGCTGGACACAGTGGCCAGCACTACTTGGGAGCTCCCTGAAGGCAGAAGTGCTCTCCCTGGCCATGGTGTCTTTTCTAAGTGCCATGCCCTTGAAAGCTACATGACAAGTACTTCCCAAAAGACCAAACTAATCAGGAAGTATGTACAACATTTTCCCATGTCACTTGGTCTGAGAATTCTGTAAAATGAAACTTCACCATTAGAAGCTGATCAAGCCATCTCAGCAATTCCATTCCTAGGCACTGTCTTGACAAGAATGTGTTTGCATGTTTACGAAAACACACAATCCAGGAGGCTCAGGATAGCTGTATTTGTAAACTGTGCAAACTGAAGTACAGACAGTTGGCAAGTGAACATGTTCACCCAATGGAGTACAACACAGCATATGAAGAGAGCTGCGCCTGCCCACAGCAGTGTGGCCAAGGCTGCAGATGCCAGCTGGAGTCAAAGAGGCTGGGTCCCCTCTATAAAGTTGAGGACAGGCAAGGCTTGGTGGTGCCCACGGAAAGTGGGGTGTTGATGGTTCTGGGTGGGCCAGTGACGGTAAGGTGAGATACACAGGTGCATCTAGGGGGCCTGAGAAGCTCTGCTTCTTGCCCTGGGTGCGTCTGCTCTGGAAGACTTTGCTGATCTGCGCGCTGATGGATGGCTTGAACACAGACACACCCACAGAGGGCTGCCCCAGCTACACTAACTGAGCCAAGGACAAGAACCAACACTTCCCAGGGATTTTGTGAAATAGGGTGGAAGCAAAAGCAAGGAATGAAGAGTGGACCAGTCCACGGCCATAAAGGGAACCACACACTACTTACTCCCTTGCAGATGGAGACAGCCTCCTTGGATAAGGATTTGGGGTAGGAAACGTTATGTTCCATGATGGACTGGAACAGTTCATCTTCGTCTTCACCATCAAATGGAGGCTACAGGGAAAAGAACAGAGATGGGAGGGCACTGAGGAGGGGGTAGAATCCACGACCAAGGTCATTCCCTGGGAACCTGCAGATCCGACTCAGCCACAAGAAACAGGACAGGTTTCCTGACATGGCAGGCTGCCGAGAAAGCTCAGTTGACTTGTGGATTTGTTTGATTAGCTTAAATTTTTAATGAGGCTGGTGACTGTGTATTTTTCATTTTTTTTTTTTTTCTTCATCTCTCTCTTGAATTAGTTTGCTCTGGGCAATCCTGTAGAATCTTTAGGGAAAGTGTTCTTCAGTAATTCTTTTAACGATTTGCAAATAAATTATAATTAATCCATTAATCTTGTAATTACGTACTGAAAACTTAATTACGATGAAGTTGGGTCACAGATGGCTCGGGGTTCAGAAGGAGGGGGCACGGTGGAGAATGCTAATGCTTTCACGTTGGGTGATGCAGTAATGTGAATCTCTCTGGGGCCTTCCCACCCAGTAGGAGCAGCTTTATGGGGCATCCGGTGCCCGAGGTGCCAGTGATGAAAGCTGGGTTCTCCTTGGACACCCCCTTTGCCCTCCCTGTTGGGTTTACCATTACCACCTGGAGGGAGGCCTGGTGGCACCCAGGGAGATCATGGCTTTGGACTCAGGCAAATATTGGACCAGCCTCCCAGCTGTTATTCCACAGGCCAGTGGCTGACTCTGTGACACAATTTTCTACTTGGTACAAGGGGTTTCTGGTGACTGCGTGTAGCCCCTAGGACTGTTGGTGGGGCCCAGTAAAAGGGACTTGATGGTGTTGCTACTAAGTTGGAAGAATCCTCCAGGGAGGAGATGTGAGAACCCCCGTGGGAGGAAGGACTGAACCAAAGAAGCCTCGCCAGCTCCCTCTGCATGTCTGGGGTCTGTCTGTGTGTTAACGCACCTGGGAGGCAGCAGGTGACGACAGAAACCAAGTACTTGGGTCCCTGCCCCTTGCACAGGGGACCTGGATAGAGTTCCTGTTGCCGCCACTGAGAAGTGAACCAGTCGATGGAACATTTTATATTTTCTGTTTCTCTTCCTTCCTGCTTTCTCTCTTCTATCCTCCCTCTTTTCCTCCCTCCCTCTGTTCCTTCCTCTGCTCTCTTTCTCCACCTGCTTTTTTCCCCTGTCATTTTGCTTTTCAAATAAATCTGGACCAAAAAAATTCAGTCTGTTGTGGTCCACAGGTGCACAACAGTTGGCATTTAGTCCTTCCAGTCAAATTCTTCCTCAAAGTAAGACAGAACCATTGAGCTAAGAGTTTATGACAGTAGATCTTACTTCTTGCCCATGATACACATCCACTGGGGGCCAGCTCTCTGGGGTTCTGCTCTCTGTGGCCATGTGGAGGCTCCCTGGACAGAGCAGTTGCCACTTTGGTCTTGCCTGTAGAAACTGGCACCAGAGTCTGGGCTGTCGCCCACTGACCCTTAAGCAATCTGGCACCTCCATTCTGATCTCATGGATCAGAACTGGTCATGTGTCAGGAAGGACAACCCTGCCCTGTGCCAACAGGAAGGAAGCCCAGGAGCACTTGATGGAGAGCACAGCAACCAGGATATTCAGAAAAGCTCCCTGGAGCCCTGTGTTACATTGAAAATTACATCACACTAGGAAGGAGGGAGCCCACAAAAGGAGTATCCACATGTCATCTACCTAAACATTGCCTCTCATTTGCATGTGGATTCCCAGGCTTGCTTTTCCAACTGCAATTCATCAGAGGCAGTTGCCAGTCTTTCACTGACTATTGTAGTCACCAAGAGGACACATGACCCTGGCCTGGTTCATTCCTCCATGGGCACAGCTGCTTCCAGCTCGGTGTTCTCATGCCTAACGACCCCACAAACATCACACCGTACACTGTTTCTTTCACCTCTGAGTGACTTCCTAAACAGGATGGCCCAGCTAGGGGACAGCGCAGACCAAGGAGTTGAGCATGTTTATGACTCAGGTTAAGTCTGCCCAGGTCATACTTGGGGCATCCTGACAGGTGACTGCTTGCTCTCAGGACTCACTGTTGCAGCAGGTCAATGGCAATGAGTTCTAATCACCCCCATTTTCCTTCCCAGTAATGGTAGTTACTTAGCCTGGGGAGTGTGGAGAGTAACATGGTATCTTAGGACCTAACATTCTGAGCTTGCTCCTCTCTCCCCTTCTCAAAACTAAGCCCCCTATGAGCAATCAAGTCTTGGGTTGGTGCAAACATTTCCTACACAGGTGGTACTTCCCATCTACTCTGAGATATGTAATTAGCAAGATTTGAGCAGACAAATGGGGGTGCTGGTTCTCCCTGAGAAATTGGCTTCTAAATCACCAGTAAGTGGGCATGGCTACCCATTGCTGTGCCAAATTGAGGACTCAGGGTAGGGGTGGGGGAGCAGCCATGGATCATTCAAGCCAATGGCCCAATTACTGAGATGAAGGGCCACCTACTGATTCATCAGGAACAAAGGCAAAGCATAAGTAACCCTGGTACACAGCACATAAAGATGAGGGTGCTGGTCCCATTATGGTGAGCACCATGAGCACGGGGAGCTGCATCATGCTCATTAGAGTGCCGGGGAAGTACTATTTATGCTCCAAAGTCATCATATATGTCAAACAACCCAGGAACCGAATAAAGACTTGGGCTCCTTCTGCCTCACCACCCCCTGGCTGCTGATAATAAATATAGAAAACCGAATGACAGGACAATAACCTTTTCTTTTCCTCTTCTCTCTGCTCTTCAGCCCTCTGAGATGATAGAGAACAGATGGAGATTTCATGATCCATCTCACTTTTTGACAAGAGCACCTGTGGTCTGAGCTTGGCCTCTGAGACTCCTACAGCATGGAGGAAGGTACAGGGTAGGACCCCACCAGAACCTTCTGCAACTCTTTCTGGACTGACTGATAGTCCAGGAACTCATTTAAACTTGCCCTGAAAAGTCAGGGAAGAAGATGAGCAAAAGATTTTGAATGGCCAGGTAGACTCAGAGCCACCAGTGCTCCATCTGAGCGGATACTGCACCAGGTGTAGGAGACGTGCAGGTGTCTTTTTTTTTTTTTTTTTTTTTTTTTAGAATATTTTTGCTTTTTTAGAGCCTTGAGGGGAGGCACATAAGGCAGGCTAACTGGTGCCAGGAAGCAGGATGTGAAATGAAGGAAGAGGCCAGATGCTTATGGAATCTCTGGGTATGAGTAGGAGTCCAGTGCTCCATGGGGAGCTTGAGCGAGCGAGGGAGGACTTCAAGTAAGGCCTGGAAATTGAAGCCTAGGAGGGGCAAGGCTTTACAACACACCTCAAAGGCACTTCCCTGGCATCGTGGAGCCTTCACGAAGCTTTCCCAAACTGACAAGAGCTATTTCACGTCCCTGCATGTAAGGAGCCCTATGACACAATGCTGCCTACATCTCTATTCAACCCATAACACTTGGTGGCATATGCAAATGAGCCTCTTTATGAATACAGGGTTTGTTTTCTGGATTCCAAGTCCAATATTCAAGTAGGATCAAGGTGGGGAACTCGGCTTCTGGTACCTTCAGGCACAACATGACTCCTGTTGTGTTCCTTTTCTATTTCAGCTAATCATGGGCCATGACATATTTGCATCATCTACTTAGTGTCTGGTCAGTTTCTTCTCATAAGCTGCAAGCTTCACAGACATCAAGCTTTTCATCCGTTTTATTATTGTGCACACAGTAAGCGTTCACGGACATGGGCTGGATGAATAAGTGGATGGGTTGGCTGTGAGGGCGGCTCCCCAGCTGACTGTGGGATACTGTGACTGTATCCATCATCTCTTGCTCAGCTCTCCGGTGCACCTGTGAGGCTGTGGTGAGTTGAATTTGATGGCCCTCATGCTTGAGTGTAGGGAATTCTAAAACCCACCCACAACAGAATCACTATTCAGGCTAATGGCAGAGATCGGCCAGGAGCTTGGCTCCCCTCGCTGAGTGTTCAGACGGAAGTGGCCCTCTTGAGTCTCAGTAGAGTCAAACTTGGGGACAGGGGTTTGGTAGTGGAGAGTCAGGCAGGGGTGAGGAAGCCACTTGAAGGCCTGGCTTTAAAGCTTTCAGTGCAACTCCCTTGGCTGGCTAAAAGAAGGACCAATCAGTCAGTGGGGAGGCAGATGGTGAGAGAACCCAAGCCTTCCAATGATGACGTGGCTCTGTCTCACTCCCACCCTCCTCCACCACAGAGGACTATGTAAGGAATGTGAAATAAATCTATGCTTTGTGTTAAACCACTAAGATGTGGGGGCTGTCAGCATTGACTAGCCGGTGACACAGTTAAGAATACCACTGTGTCAGAAGATGTTAGGCAATAACACACTTGCTTATCTCATTAAGTCACATCCTAAGAGAAACCTAAATTTCCTTTTCTTTTGCTGGAAGTTTAGCTTCATTGGATTTTTGTGAAGAATTACTGTGAATTGCCAAGGGTGAGATAAGAGGAGATGAGGAGAAGCTATTAAAACACTCGTTGAAGTTTAAAGGCTTCCTCCTTAAGTAATAATACCATCAATTATGCACCTGGGCAGGAGCCAGGATAATCCTTGTGGGGAGACTACAGAGAACCACAATCCAACCCCAGATGGTTGATTCTGGAAACTGACAGTAGCCATGGCTAAAAACTACCCAGGGGGCATACAGGCACCGCCATTACGTCAGGTTGCGGCTTTCAGCTTGAGTATTTTTGTGACCAGAAGATTATTTTTTGTGCCTACAAGATGTGCCAATCCACTCTCAAACAGGGATCCCTCCCATGTCTCCCTCCTTCCCTGGATCAGGGAAGACAGACCCATCCTAGCCATGTTGCACTGCCAGGTCTGGTGATGGTTGGCTGAACACAGCTCAGGAACTCACCTGACCTGCAACAGGCAAACACAAAAGCACAGGGAAATATTACCTGTCCAGCTAGCATCTCATACAGCAGGACGCCGTAGGCCCACCAATCCACGGATTTTCCATAAGGCTGATAAGCAATGATCTGCATGAAAACAAATACACGGGTTACCCTTGGTGGCAAATCACACAGCTCCTGTCAGGACAAGTGAGTCAAGCATTAATACTCTGTTCCTGCACATGAGGTGATCGTAGGATCGGTCATTGGTTTATTCGCCAAGGTAAGGGGGTTCCCGCCAGACACACATGCTGTGAGCCATGGACCCCAAAGCTCACTGACAACAACCTGTTTGGGGATTCTGCTTTCAGATTCACCCGGGGAGATGCAGAGCATGGACTGAAGGTAGATTTAGTTGTTCCCCTGGGGGAAGGATATTTCAACACTGAGATGCATTTGCTTTTTGGAAAACACCTGAGGTTGTCTAGCACGAGGGCCTGACACAAAAAAAATGGCCAAACTCAGACATCAAAGCAGAGCTCTACCAAAACTAACATGGTGGCTGCTGGTGCCTGAGAGGAGCAGGAAGCACGTTGCTTTCTTTCAGTGAGGCACACTCAGTCAACCGAGGTTGTAAAGGGTTTTGAAAGAGGTGCAAAACACAACATTCAAAAGCAACATTTGGACATTGTCTGACTCTTGATTCAGGTCTGCCAACTGCAAAACAGAAGCTCTGAGATAACCTGGAAGATGAAAGCACAGACGACAGAGTGGGTGACTTAAAAGATTTCTAGGTGGCATGATAACCAACGACTGTTTTAGACAGCGTCCGTCTCAGCTAGAAAGGAGGGTATCGAAGGGTGAAACGTTTGAGAGATGACGTATTAGCGGGAGAAATGACGCAGTACCTTCATTCTCTAATAAGGTGCCCTTTCTGAGTAAAAGGGAGTGGGAAAGGATTGGACGTCATCACCACAGCTACAGTGCGTAACTGCATTTCGAAAGTGAATAAAGCCTGTCCCTGAAACCATTTATACTCTATGGTGTTTTCAGTAAAAAGATTTACCTGGAAGTCAAAGAGGCAGAGAAAAAGAGACAGACAGAGAGATCTTACATTCACTGGTTCACTCCCCTAATGGCCGCAACATCCAGAGCTGAGCCAGGCTAAAGCCAGTTCTAGGCTCTACATGGGCGGCAGCAGCTGGAGCTCAAGTCACCCTCTGTGGTTCTGCAGGTATATTAGCAGGGAGCTGGATTGGAAGGGAGTAGCTGGGACTTGAACAGGCACTCTCATATGGGAAGTTGGCATCTATGGAATGTTGATGTCACAACAGACAGCTTAACCTGCTGGTGCCACAGCATTGGTCCTAGTCAACTGATTTTGAACACAGGCTGAGCTGAAGCTGTGGTGTTTCCATAAGCACATAGGTGTTTTTATCAGCTGTTTTCTCCACATGGGTGAGGCACATTGATCTGGTTTTGCAAGCTGTCGGGGCATCTGCTTAGCTACTGGACCTAGACAGCAAAGCCATTTTAGACACCACAGTGTCTCAACTGCAGTTACAGGATTGGGTTTAGCATTTCACCAAACAATTTCTCCCTGGAGAAGCCCATGCGCCATCACCCTTGAGCTGGCATCAAAAGAAGCAGAGGTTTCCAAAGGGTTCAGTTATAGATAAAGAGTGCAGAGTCTGAATGCTGTTAGATTCATTTTTAGCAAAATGCATGCTTATCCCTCAATGACCCAGTGTTAATATCTCTAATTAACCAAAAGCAAAACGGCTACAGCACTAACTACAGACACACACCATTTAGGATGTTGGTTTTACCACCTTTTTGGAGTTCGATAACTCAATACTGTCTAATATGTAGCCAGTAGCTGCAGACAGGCAGTGAGCACGTGAAATGCACCCAGACCATGCTGAGATGTGCTCTAGCAGTAAAACACACATCAGACTTTGAAGGCGCAGGGAAAAATGCAAACAGTTCATGAGTGATTTTTATCTTCGATATAGATAAAATCCATTGCTGCAGTTAATGCCATCTATTTCGGAGCCTGATTTTTACTTCTATCTGTTCCTCCTGATCCACTCTGCTTCCTTGGCTTTTACTGGCCTGGGAAGGCAGCTTGGGTCTAAGGAGTAAGTTCAAGGGCCAGAGAATAATAGATGCTGAGCCTCTCTTGAGTCTGCCCCTACTGGGGATGGAATAGCTGTCTCTGGCAGTTCTGGCCAGGAGGCGGGTTGCGGCCAAGCACACAGTTGCCCAATATCCTTGAAGCCCCAGGCAAGGGGCAGCAAGGCTGACTTGGTTTCCCACAGCAGAGTGGCTTATAGAAGGAGAGGCTATCTTGGCCAGTAGGACCCATGCTGGCAGATTTTTCTGCAGCACATGGAGGTTGAACTTTGGTGTCAAAGACAGATGCTCAGCAGGGCCAGTGCCATTCAGTTTCACTGTTCTTTGTCACCATGAGCCTTATTCTGATTCTTACATGAGCCAACTGCTTGGGGGTTATGTCAGGATGCTACGAATGGCTGCCTGTCTTGCAAAAGGGAGATGTGAATGAGCTTTCTTCCAGCCTGGGCATAGGACCAAGTCCCAGAAGCTGACCAAGTAAACTTCTCATGTTCTAGGCCAAGGGCCTGTAGCAGCTGGAAGGAGGCCTTCTGTCCTCTGCTCTCCTACACATGCTGGGGGGTCTCCCAGAGAAGATGGGGCTTCAGAGCCTTTCTGACTTTAGACAGAGCAGCTCTGGGCGCACTTGGGGACGTAGACATGAGATGCCATTGGCATTAATAGCAGTGACTAACGAACGTCACCTTCACTGCATTCACTCTCTGCCAGGCTGCTCAGTCCCATTAGCTGATTTCAACCCTCACTAGCTCATTTCACAGATGAGGAAATGAGAGGCCCAACAGCTAGCTTAAGGCTGTTTATGAGGCAAAGCTGGCTTTTGAGTCTGGCCATCAAGCTTTGGTGCCTACACTCTGGCCCACATTTCTACTTGGAAGGTCATGGCTATGTGTGGCTCCCAGACAGCAGGATGGGAACTGGCCTGGTGACACTCAACAAGAAGGACTTCCCATACTCAACAGGATCAAGACAGTCAGGATGCCTGCTAACTCAGGAACTGAAGTGTGGGCCTGAAGGCTTTGTCTTAGGACAACATCTCCTTGTCTCGGCTGCACCTGAACTGGCTTCCATCCTTTTTTCCCCCTTAAGATTTATTTCATTTATTTAAAAGGTAGAGTGACACACAGAAAGGGGAGAGACAGAGAAAGACATCTCCCATTAGCTGGTTCATTCTCCAAACAGTCACACTGTCCAGAACCAGTCCAGGAAGAAGGAAGGAACCTGCAACTCCATCTGGATCCCCCATGTGGATAGCAAGGTTGCTGCCTTCTCAGGCACATCAGCAGGAATACTGGATCCAAAGCAGAGCAGCCAGGACTCGAACTGGTGCTCTGACCTTGGGTCTGAGCTTTGCAAATGGCAGATCATCTCACTTGCACTCTAGCACTGGCCCTATCCACTCTTCATTTTCATGCTACGTTTATTCACCCACCCTTCCAGTGTGCACTCTTAAACAATGATGCAACCAGAAATGTCTTTCTTTCACCTGTCATTATAACACAGTAACCTTTATGCATAAAACATGTCCAAGTTCTTCTACTATCTTAAGGAACCAGGAATATTTTTCATTCCCCATGAAATACATTCTTTTTTGCTAAAAAAATTATGACTGTTTTGGAAGACATCATAAACCTCTGAGGATGAAACATGGGGAATAAGAAGCTCTACTTATGGTCATGGTCAAAGCTGTCAGCCATCTGATAGGCCCAAACAGTACCACTGGGGAAGAAAAGAAGATGGACTGGTGTTTTTCCAGTAGTTCTGTGCTGAAGCCAGAGTCTAAGGCCAGAAATTTCTCCTCTGCTTCCTCCACTTGGACCCACAACTGCTACAGCCATAGGCATGTCATTGTTGAGGCTGATTATGCACACTTACTCCTCCCCGAGATCCAACCAGCACCCAGTGCCTGGACCTCATGCAGCATAGGGAAGACACAAGAACCAAGAGGTTGGCCCCCAAGTCCCATCCATAGGCACCTCCCCTCCCCCACCCATGGGTGCAAAATCAGCAGAGTGCTTAGGACTGGGAAGGCTGGAGGTGCCTGTGGAGATGGTTGAGACAACCACCTTTGGGGTTCTGCAAAAGATCCCAAGGTTTCAAGTGGCAAAGCAGCTTCCTCCAGGTTGCCAGGATGCTTAGCATCAGTTTAGGTAGAGAGAGGTCTAAGGTGGTCTGACTGTGCGCCCTTCCTCCTCAGAGTGTGATAACCAGGAAGCACCATGGTGGGGTGGGATCCCCAGTACTCATCTGGGATGCTCCCCAATCAAACTTCACTGGGATCAGAACACCAAATGGGAAGAAAGCACAGCCTGGTGAGACACTGCTGAACCCAGCTCCAGTGCTCCACCCAGAAGCTGGGTGGCCTTGGGCAAGTTGTACAGCCTCTCTGAGCGTCCATTCCCTCATTTATGTTGGAGTCCCAGCACCCATGTAGCAAGTATATTGGGGGGAGCTTAAGAGGGGATTATGTACATTGAAACAGGCTTATGTAGATAAGCTGAATATACATATGTTCATTGTGTAATTTCATACTAACATCAGGAATAGCGGACTCCCTGGCAAAGCATGTGGGTGGAAGTTATTCAAGGTAACAAACAAAAGTGAAGGAAGAGGAAAACATTTTGGTATGACGTAATGTTAAAATATCTATTAAACATCTACCAATGATGATTGACACCTGGAAATTTCCCATCAACTCCATATCCTCCATTCATTCTTTCAGCAGGTATTATCTCATTGTGTGCTAGATACTGTATTAAGCATTGGCTACAGAAGTGAATAAGAGAGATGGAAGCCTCCATCCCATTGGTGGATTTTATCAGAGCGGTGAAACTTCTCTCTTCTCCCTTGGCTGCCAGTTTCTGGGACTGTGTGATTAAACGGCCAAGGCACTCGGTAAGACATGGGGATTAGAAACCAAACCAGAGAGAGACGCAAAATGGATACATAAATAAAAGTGGGATTTCGAAGATCAAGGGTCTTAATATATCCCACGAGGAAGATCTGTGATATTT